TAGGGAAACGTATAGGAAAGTAAAAAAAAAGGAAAACGGAAAAAAAAGGTGCAAAGGTTCAGGAAAGTAAAGGAGAGAACAAAATATTATAATCAGGATATGTACATAAAGCTTAAATTTTAATGTTATTATTATTCATATATACAGAAAGGGTATTATAAATATCAATATTATCATGCATANCCTATTAATTTTACACAGGTACGACTGTACTTAGTGTTGCACTATCAAATGCAATTGACGCGCCTCTATGCCAGGGTTTTTATGTTCCTGGTCAGGCTATAATTACAGATTGGTGGAATCCAGATTCTGTGAATGTACATGTAATTGATTGACAAGTACACATTTGACAAGGTAAATTAATTTTATTTAACAAAGTAGTGTAAATCTAGAAACAAAACAGACAGTAAGTAGGTATGGTAGATAAGACAGATCACTTGTTCATCTGCTGTACTATTTATAATATTAGTGTAGAATGTAGATGATGTAGGAGATTACAGTCTTACGGTGACATGTGCATCTTTTTGCTCTTAATTTACAAATATTTCATATATTTTACAGGTGGTGAGAAACGTGTAGATCTGGCCTGCTTACAGTGGCTATTGGATTGGACAGAACCAAAGTGAGAGTGAACGTGTGAATTTATGGAGAACATTAAAAACTATTTTACTATAAGTCATAACGCAACTTATTTTGTATGAGTTACATACAAATGTCAAGCCGTGAGTACATTATGTAAAAACTAAAACAAAGTACCTACTGTAATCACAACAGTAACTGTAATCTTTTAAAATCCAATAGTTTTAATGATTATTGATTTTCGTAAACAAAATATTTCATGTTATATTTCATCAATAAAGTTTCATTTGATACTTCAATAGTTTTATTTTTAACTGCAATACATGAAAAGGAACGGATCATAAAAAAGTATGACAGGTATATTTCATCTGTGGGCGGCAGACGCCATATTGTATTCAGCGCCACCTACTGGACAATCTAGCTCGGTACCAGTTTGTTTATCGTTTAACCAATACTAGGGCCGTTTCCTATCTGTCTTTAGACATACTCTCTAATCTGTGGTGACATGTGACATCTTCCTATTTCTTGTTGTTTTTGTTTCCTTTCTTCTTTCAAATCAAAACAAACTTCGTTGTATCGGTTGAATGAATCTTTCTTTTGTTAACTTTAAATTTAACTACAGTGATTAATTTAATAACGTGGTAATAAAATGGCATCATCGAATGAGTTTCAAGACTTGGATGATGAAGTGTTAGAACTTTTAAAGAATTATAAACATAAAAAAGCAACGGCATACGAGCCTTGTTCTTTAAAAAATATTAACGAGTGTTTGATCGGTCTTCGTGAGGTATTTATATTGTTTTATGGCATAATAAATACTAGAAATGTATTTGGTTGTAATCATCAAGTATTTACTTTCAGGAACTTGACCTTTTCAACATATCTTACACTTTCAATCCACATGTGGACATTGATGACAACGTTTTAACACCAGAAGCTCTTGTAAAGCTTATAAATTCAGTTTGGACATTGTTATATTATCATAAAAGTGTAAAAGAAAAAGCTGATGCATTAACAGAACAAAACCATGTTTTGGAACATCAGAACAAACAACTTCATGTGAGTATTTTAAAATTTGTTTTTAAGAGATACTGAAATAAGAATATACTAATGAAATAAATGAGTAAGTAATTAAAATAATATGTTTATTTTTCAGGGTTCTTTGGGTAAATTTAAAGATAAACTATCAATCGAGAAGAATGGAGCTAAAGCATGTGTTGCTGAAGCCCAGAAAGTCTCCGATCGTTCCGATGAGCTTCTCCATGCTCTAACAGAAACAAGAGCCAAACTTTTGAAAGTTAATAAACAGAAAGATGCCATAGAAAAGTCACTACGCAATGAGATTTCAAGGATTAAGTTGGAAAATAATAAATTGACGGATAGACTGAGAAACAAATCAAGTAAGGGATATTTCAAATATCATTTCAAAATTAACTAGCTGGGTAACCTTAATTTTACAATAGAGACTGATGTTAAAATGATGCCACTAACTTTTAAATTAAACTGTATGTTGTCTTCACTCTTATCTAAAATAAAAGCTTTAAAAATATTATTTACAATAAAATTTCATTCAAAATTTTTATTTCTAGGTGTCCATGTATCATGCAGCGAAGTGTGTGATTCAACAATGCTGCGCCTCAAGGAACGTGAACGTAAACATTTGGCTGTCATATCTCAACTGCAGCTCAATAACCAAGAGCTACTACGGGAAGTGCTTGCTTTGAAGGAAGAAATAATAATGGGGGGTCTCCAAAACTATGACATAGATGATAAGACAAAGTGATAAACTAGCTTTTTAATTCTGCATTTAATAAGTCTATTAATAAGAAACAAAACAAAATGGTAACAATGGCTGTTAACTAGATTAATCAATTAGTGTTATGTGTCATGTTAATTTTTTAATGACTTGTTGACTTAATTTTAATGTTTGACATCTTGCCTGATATTAACTATTTTTGTAACAGCTAACCAAGCTGACATCAATCAGTATTATTGTTATAAGTATTAAAAATGAATAAAACTCTATTCAAAACAACTCTATTGTTTAAATTATACTATCTTTAAACGATTTTAAATTAATACTTTATTAATTTTTAATGCAGTTTTAGCCCTTTTATTGATTAGGTATTATTTTATTTCTACTAGCTTTCGCGCCCGACTTCGCACTGAAAATGTATAATCCTCATCTTGGTTACAGGTTTTCGTGAATGTGTCTCTTTCTATAGACGTTTATTATTTTATGCCGGAAGAACAAATTACTATGTCAGTACTTTCCTACTAACCAAAGTTGGACGAAGATAGCAAAATAACCACACAAAATATGTAAGTAAATAAAAACAATACATTGTACTAAACATTATTTATTATACAGGGTGTAGTTTTGTAAAACAACTCCCATCTCATGGGTGGTCAGCTGGTCACACATAAAAGTAATTACAAGAAAAATATAAATAAAACTATTACTTTATTAGTCAAAAACCTTATTCAAACGTTTCCTAAAACTTTCGAGAAGGCGCTTGTTACCGCCTGAAACACCAACGGCGTAGAGCGGGAGGACTGTCCGATAGTTCGCCCGCGTAATATTCTGATTTCATGGTTTATACTATTTTCCTGATTTCATGGATTTCTCACTGAAAATTTAAGGTATATTTTATATTTTTTTTGGCATCAATATCGTGTATACTACCATCCCTCAGATGGGCGTTATTTTACATAACCACATCCTGTATTTTGTTTATTTATTCTTTTAATAATTGTTTAAGGCGAACTTAATGCCATAAGGCATTCTCTGCCAGTTAACCTTCAGGCTTAACAGAAAAAAAAATTCTGACGACGCGACGAGACAGAAAGAGCCAGCTATCCTATACCAAACAACATTTAACTTGAGTAAATATTATCTCTACATTGGCTCCCTATAAATAAATTCTGCCCGGGCCGCGGCCTAATCTGCGTAAGTTACAATTTTTCGCAATACCAAATTATGTGAAATTCATTCAGTTTTCATTAAAAATAAAATTTCATTTTTTTTTTGCATTAGTCAATGGGCGATAGACAGCTTTGTTGTGTTTTGTTTTACATTGTAGCAGTAACGTCTTTGAAGTGACTCAGTGTGTAACATCAGTGACTACAAAAACAATCTAATTTAAGTAGTAATCATTTAATCAACCATGAAATTTTTACGTTAATGTTTTGTCTATAAATTCTTCGAAAGTCTGATAGAATAAAACGTTTTCTAGGCTATAGGACAAGGACCTGATCTTGTTTATCTACCCTTTGAAGTCTAGCCTATGAAGTCATCATGTCAGTAGGTATTAGGTATTTTAAAAATATTGGTGCATTAGGATACCGACATTACAAACGTTCAAAATTTGAACTTTTGAAATGCAACATTAAATGCACCAACATTTAATGTTGAGCCAGAAATTATGCAGGGTGTTCCCAGTCCCAGCACGCCCAGATACGAATTTTAAAATAAGATCGTTTTCAAAATACCATCGACCTTGCTTGCCTGCTTGACAGAATATACTGTCGATTTCGGTTCAATAAATACCTAAGTAGTCGCAAATATCCTACCTCATGAGGATCTCGTGAAAATACCACGGAATCAAATAAAATTCTTTTAAAAATTTACAATCCATAGACCTCTAATGTAGTCTGGGTGGGTATAATTCTATCGCGAGGATTTTGTTTGCTACAAAACTAATATATTCGCTCTTCACATCCTATGGAAACTATTAGCTTTTATCACTCTTCCAGAATAAAATAATTTCTGCTCCTAAATTCCTATCACTGAAGTTCCCAAAGTGAGTTACTATCTTAAACTATTGGCACTTAATTAATTGGTAATTTAAAATCAATTACTAAATCCCAATGACGTGTCCCGACTTCCGATGTCTCTTCAAAAAATATAAAACGGTTTTATTAGTAAACACTTAAAGTTATAGGAAGTATCGCTGTTTGGAAGTGGTACGTTTGTAGAATTAATTACGTCCAGAGGCTCTCGACGGGCACTAAACACTATTAAAATATCGTCGCAGACACCATCACCGCTACATGACGCTAAATCCATTTATCGCACAACACTCCAGTATTCACTGAATCATTCTGCAGTCGGCCGTGAATGCGCGCGCGCGCCTTGTTTCAATTCAATTTGCCGCTTTATCGTGAGTGTTTTCTTCAAGTTGATAAGATCAATTACATCACTGTGATAACATAGTCAAGGACTGTCATTTTCTTAGTAAAATAAAATTGTATTGTTAACATGCAGTGACTGAAAGTTGAAGTGTTTAAAACAATATCAGTGAATTGTGATACTCCGTCGGACGTGCCGGCACCATGGGCACGAAGAAAATAATAAAGATTACAGTGGTCGGAGATGGTATGGTCGGCAAAACTTGCCTACTCTACGTGTATACGAAGAACGAGTTTCCTGAGGAATATGTACCCACAGTGTAAGTTGTCAAGTTGGTCAGAAGAAGGGTAGGGAAGTGCGCTGACCGAAGGGTCAGTGGGGCAAGAACGTCGCCAGAGTTACGTGAGGCCGAGCTACTAAATTAGCAGGTGGATGCCGTAACGTCGTTATCAACCAGCAGAACTGACGTGACGTCACAAAATATACTGTATTTAGCAGCCACTGTGGATTTACCGGGTTTACTTGAAGTATGACACATCGTTAGTCAGTTATCCTATGGTTAAATCATAACATTAGTTACAAATTACTAGGTTACTCATTTGGTTTAACTTCTAAAATTACTTGCGAAATCAAATGGGGCACTAAATCATCAGGATATGATGATAATTTTGATAAGAAATCATGACTTGACTTGAAAAGTGATATCACTTCTTATTTATAAAATTGACTCCACCACCAAGTTCTATACCTAAATAATTCATAAAGTTTATCACAACAGGTTTTGTTGTGATAAGCTAAGTCGAGTCGTTAATTCTTAATAAAATACAGCTCTAATGTTTGCTAACAACAACTAACTACCAATAGAGGCAAAGGCAACAAGAAAAGGAAACGGGATAATTAATATGTTGATAGCAAAACGTTCATCACCTCAAAAGACGAATTGATTTTACCTGACGTCACTCGTCATCATTTAGGTACTATAAAACGTATGGAATTTACGCTATAAACCTCACGTCATTTCTTATTTACTGTGAGTGAGGTGCGAGTGACTAATCTAAATCTACAATGTTTGATTAAAACTGATTGGACCTTATTTTTTGTTTGTTACGAGGGCGGCACTGAAAATTTCGGGAATCAAGGAAGTGAAACAACATTACTATTTAAAAATGTATTTATTGGTTTTTAAAGTATTCTCCGCGAAATTTGACACATTTTTCCATACACGAAACCAATCATTGAAGCAACCATTCCATTCGGAAGTTTGGGTCTCCAAAATGGCCGTTTTGTAGGCGTCCACAGCTTCTTCAGGTGATGAAAATCTCTGACCACGCAATTTATTCTTTATTTTAGGGAAAGTATAGAAATCATTAGGGCTTAGGTCGGGGCTGTACGGCGGATGGTCTAATAATTCTATGTTTTCTTGCTCTAAAAACTCTTTTGTTCTGTGCACGGTGTGAGAACTCGCATTGTCGTGATGGAGGATGATGCGGCGGTTGCAGTTCTCTTTACGGAGTTCAGAAACGACTAGTGGCAAACAAATGCTAGCATACCATTCTGCATTAACCGTTCTTTGTCCCCCAAGAGGAATAGTCGCAACATGGCCGGTTTTGGAGACAAACGTGGCCACCATTTTTTTTGCAACACTCCGTGAACGATCAATTTTTGTTGGCTTTAACGCATTTTCGAACACCCAAACTCGTGACTGGTTTTTTGTTTCGGGTTCGTACGCATATATCCAGGATTCGTCACCTGATACGATGTTGTATACAGCATTTGAGGATCCTGCATGTAATCTTCCGAGAGTTCTGACGCACTAAGTAACGCGAGTCGCTTTTTGCTCTTCACAGAGCGAATGCGGTATCCATCGGGAAAACAACTTTTTTACACCTAATTGTTCATGCAAGATTATTTGTATTTGACTCATGCCAATGTCTAAAGTTGCCTGAATTTCGCGGTATGTCACATGTCGATCTTCTTCAATCAGCTTACGCACAGCATCAACGTTTTCTTGGGTGACTGCAGTTTTTGGACGACCTTGACGGGGACCATCACTGAGCTTGACACGTCCACGTTGAAATTCAGCAAACCAGCGATAAATTATGGTTTTGGATGGGGCTTCATTACCAAATGCAGAAATCATCCGGTCAACACACTGTTTTTGTGTTAAACCACTCCGAAAGTCATAATAAATCATCGCTCTTGAATTTTCTCTAGTCAATTCCATTTTCTCAACGACTAAACAAGTTTCACAAGACCTTGTGATAAGACCGAGAATCTTTTTTTAAATAAATAAATGGTATTCGATGCTTAAAACCAAGGAGTTTGCAATTAAAAATATTTTAATATGATAGGAACAGTGGAAATATTCCATTCCCGATACTTTTAGTGCAGCCCTCGTACTTGCTCTTGCTATATTTTGTTGGAAGTTAGTTTTCTTAAAGTACCTAAGTAATTGTTGGTAGGACCTACTCGTAATGCGAAATTTAGGTAACTTAATTTAACAACCAACTATAACAAACTAAATAAGTTAATCAACTTCCGAAAGTTGTAAAATTCGATCTTAACAAACAGCTTAAGAGGTAGAACGTGGTAGAACCTTGGACGAATTAATTCGTCCAAGAGGAACACATTGTTTAAACTCAAAAAATGAAAAATCTTATCACTAGTAACTTTTTCAGTCATTTGGCTTAATTAATTAATGTTCGTTAGTTAATTAGTTGTAAACGACTGCTATAGTAAGACGTTAAGTAGACTGTTAATTAGGTAACGATATACTTTTTACATTAATTTAACATGTCGTTATCTAAAAGTTCCCAGAAATGAATAGGATAAGTTTGCAAGTGCAACAATTAGCGGTCACGTCCCAGC